AAAAAAATTTCTGGATCCAATGTTATTACACTTGAATGTATCATAAAATAGGATCGATATAGCGTCAATCATATTTATTATAGAGAAAGGAATACTTTAATCTTAAATGAAAAATTCTAAATCTAGACTAACATGATAGTATGTATCGTCTTTTGTCGAACATTGTGGTGCCCACTTCGTGCGTTGTAAAATGAAGGGCATATTTATTCTAAACGCGTTTCTATGTTCAGTATGACAGGTGGTTCTGAATGCATACATAACACAACAATATTTTTCTCACACTTAGTTACTCGCAAATAAAATTACAACATAAATGAACATTAAAAAATAAATGTAAAGCGTACCATCATACCACTCTTCGTCCAATGGATTGAAATTGATACGGACAACCTTATCGAAAGCCTTCTCTGAAAAATTTAATAGGTGTTACAGAACGAATTAGACGGCGACAAACTGTGTGTACAGCATTTAAATTCGCTCTCGCAAACTTACGGCATTTCACACGCACAAAACATCTGTCCGGATTTATTTGCTCACTCGTAAAAACAGGAGCACATTTTCGATAAAAATAAGGCTCGTGACTGAATGCAGGATGATCGCAGACTGAATGATTAGCTCTGTGACAAAAGGGCGGAACATTTTTACCTAAATATAAAACAGCACTTTAGTTAGAAACGAAATAATTGCACGTACTTATGTAAGAAGCTTTGAGAATTACACGTGACAAGCTATATAATTTATTGCATGCTGATAATTAACATTATCAGTACCTTCATATCCTGGTTTGCAGACGCAAGTCAGTCTAGGATCTGCTTTCACGCGGAAATAATCACCATATTCATATTCTTGACCATCTACGATACAAATACCTCTGTCTTCCGGAGTTTCGGCTAAACAGAAGAAACTATTTACACGTTTGTTTCTAGGGTCCGGTTTTACATGTTCTGGTTAACTGTTAACCTGATGTTAGTCGACTCTCCGTCTTTTTCTACGTTATTATCTGAGAAGAGACAGAGAGTCGACTAACCTCTGGATAACAATTGACTAGAAAATGAAAAGCCGGACCTAGGAGTCTCAATTGATACTCGTCACAGTTTCATTTAATCACATCGAGCATGTGTATATGGACATGTAATTTCTTAAATAATTATTTATATGAAGTTTTTATAAATATTAAAATATCATTAAAATATAATTGTTATAACTAATAATATAAATATTACAACTAATAATATACTTTTGTGAGTACCTTTCGGAGCGGATAATTTTTACGTAATTTACTATAAAAGTCGTAAATAATGTATATAATTTTTTATTAAAAATTATTACTTACGACAAATTTCCTTGGGATCTCCGCAACATTTTGACGGGTCGTGTATTAAATAACAGCCACGTATTACACGTTTCTTCGGACATAGGGATTTAATATCAATACATTCAAATGCAGCGCTGTACGAAAAAGTTGAACCGTTTACAAAAATTTTACAAAGTTTACAAACAGTTTACAAAAACAGTTTCTATTTTCTATAATTTAACTAGATCTTGTGGTTATACATCTTATTGTTACATTATAAATAATATAATACGATAAACATTTAATATCTTTATTTGACATCACATACTGTTATATCACAATGCGCTATCTATAGATTTTGCGTTGTGCAATGACTCTTGCTGAACGAGCAATTTAAAAAAGCTACAGAGCATCAAAATAAGTTACATAAAATTAGTCGATAATCAGAAATCCGTCTAGCAACCATTAAAAACAAGAAAAAGTCGCGCAAAAAATTTTACATTAAAGTAAACGAATTCCTTACGATATGTGAATTATGTACACATATCCGTTATAGGTATTATACTTCAAATAGCATGAAAATAACATTTGTAAAGGAGTGATCTTAACATTGAAAACTAATTTTTAAATATAAAAAATATATCGTAGAAATTTTGTCATGACAGCTGTATTAGAAACCATTAGTTGCCCGCGTTAATTCGCGATTCACACGAACACGAATCTTTCGTTACATTACATGTATATCTTCTTTTTCCGTTTATTTTATCTTAGTGGTGTACAGAAAGTCTATAAGGGGTTGCCGATGACCGTAAACATAGCAAAGTAAACATATACATTCGCATACTGTTTCCTACAGTAGATACACACATGATATACCCAACTTATATTGAAATAATTTAACTTATTTAAATTGGAGCCATACTTACATTTCAGTAGGATATTCGCGCGGATATTTGCAAGTACACATGTTGTCGCAAACATTTGCATCTATCGGTTTAAGAAATTCGTCTATCCCGTGCTCGCGACCATTGATGTAGCATTTGTGCGGAAATCTCCTATACATATGGTTACAGTTATATCTTATCGCGCATGGGTTCTCCTCGCCCTTTCTGTACACCGGAGTGCACCCGAGATCCTCGTAATACTTCAGCGGACCCGCGCAGCTCGTTACACCTTTACAAAAAAGAAAATATCAAGGAAATGTTAGCGTTCTAATATATTATCGTCCAATACATTATTGTTATATTCTAGAACAGTTGAAACGTTACGACAAAAGCGATGGGAAAATGAGATAATGGTTTTTCCTCACGATTTATCAAAACCACGGCGATGATGGCGAACGTCGCGTAAACGTATACTTTAGCACAAACACGTGTTTCACCCATGACCGAGCACGCGCAAATGTGTGGTCGACTCTAAAGGTGCGTATACACTACGGCGAACAAACGGCGAACGAACGGCGAACGAACAGCGAATTAGACAGATATGTACACCACAGCGAATGCGAACTGAACTATCGGTAGTGTTCGATTCGCCTTCGGTCCGAGTCGAAAGTTCGTGCGTAGTGTGGACGGGATTCGAATACGAATACGAACGTCCGAACATTCGTGTTCGCCGTTCGTTCGCCGTAGTATACGCACCCTAATATTCACCTTACCTTACTTAAGGTAGAGAGACTACCGTTTTGGAGGGGGTTGCGGGAGCACGGGGAAATAAATGTAAAAATTAATATGAGAGACGAGTCAGTAAATAAACAGAAATACAAAGGACGTTACGAATATTTTATTTCGTGAACGTTAGACAAATGTAAAGGCAGTTGAAAGTTATCTCGATCTTTCAGGCGCAGGCGTTTTCATGTAAAATCTGTAGTTTTGAAATCTTAGTCAATCTATATTTACGGAGTAATGGATATTAATAATTAACAAGTGATTTCTGTCTAAGCGTTAATTAGTATTATAATATGTATAATGTTGTTACAAATATTCAAGTGAAACTTTCTAACAAAGTTTTGCACTTTACGTGACAAAGTAATTATAATATTCTAGAATTTATAAAAAATAAGAATCCAGATATTTGTAATAAGGATTAAATATCATGTTACAAGATCCGTTTTTCATTAGAGTTTCACAAGTCGGCACGGGTGGTACTTCGCAAGTGCACTTAACACATTCGAGTGGAGGTTGAAATTGCTTCAGCGTGTCGCCAATCCGCATTGTTAGATTACCAAATAGGCACATATTTTTCTCTGAAAAAGAAAGGAAACGTCGAACGAAATATCACATTTTTGTGGAATAATACAAGTATAAATGCGTCAATTATTCTAACACACTTGTCTGTTTTCACGTCAGTAAACCTCATACTTTATTCACATGATTATCGAGTCGAATTTGAAAGAATAAATTTTTCTCTCAAACTATGCGATTCGTAAAACTAAAGTAAAAATTTAACGAATAACACGAGACAATTGAAGAACATATATGCGAAATATTACAATTTCTAAAGTTATTAGTGTGATGTAGAAATTTAATAACGAACAATTACTTATAGAAACAATATAATAGAGACTGGTACAACTGCTGTTGAAATTGTATGTAACAAAGTTAATATATCATTTCAATATTCAGTATGACGCAGAAATCTTTTTTCTAGACGTAGTATCTGGCAAATGATAGTATAAAATAAAATTTTAAATAAATATGAAGCGTACCATCGTACCAATTTTTACCCAATTTATTCTCAGCGGCACGGATAACCATGTCGTTTGTGTCCTCTGAAAAAATGCAATAAAAGAAACGAATAATACGGCGACAAAGTGCAGTATTGTACTTTGTTTCGGCAAACTTACGGCATTTCACGTCCACGAAACAGCTGTCCGGATCCAGTATCTTTTTAAAAATTGGAACACACTTTTTACGAAAATAATTCTTGTGACTGAATGCAGGATTGTCGCAGACTGAATGATTACCTCTGACACAGAAGGGCGGAACGTTCTTGCCTACACAGAAAATTTTTAGTTATAATTAAAATAGATACGCTTGCGGAACACTTTGAGAATTACAAGTGAAAAGCTGTATAAATGTATTACATGCTAACAACTGAAATTATCATTACCTTCGTACCCTGGTTTGCAAACACAAGTGAGCCGAGGATCTTCCTTCGCAGGGAAATATTCACCATCCATGTAGACTTTAGTGTCTACAATACACACATGTCTCTCTTTCATAGGTCCAGCTAAAACATATAAGAAGTGTCGCTTATACTCTTGTACTATGAGTATATTCGTCACTGCTTCATTTAATTATATTGAGCAGTTATAATTATTTAACACACAGATATTGCGTATGTGATGAATTATTTATATCCAATTTTTGCAAACAACAAAATATTATTCTTCCAAAAAAACAATTTACTTTCGAGATACCTTTAGTGCGGATAATTCCCACGTAAGGAATAACTGTCAAGTGAATAATGTGTATGTAACTTTTAATTAAGAATTGTTACTCACGACAAATTTCCTTTGGATCTCCGCAACATGTTGACAGGTCATGACTTAGATAGCAGCCATGTTTTACGCGTTTCTTCGGACATAGGGATTTAATGTCAATGCAATCAAATGCAGGGCTGTACGAAAAAGTTGCTCAGTTTACAAAATTTTTATTTTATCTTTATTTACCGGTATAAAAGTTTTATATCTTTAGACGATTATAAGAATAATACATATATCACACGCGCGAGCATGCGCGTTTGTGTGTGTGTGTGTGTGTTATTTGTATCATTATTTAAAATAACACAAGAAATATAGAAATATAGAAACGTATTATTTGGTCAGGTTGGAGCTTAGGGTCTAATAATGTTTTTGCATATATTGTATAATACATTCTTTTCAGTACGCACAATACGTATATACAATGTGCGTTAATTATCCTGTTGTATGTTAAAATTCTGTTAATTAACGTATCGAATTTACATGAAATTATTTATACTGGAGTCATACTTACATATCGTCATTTGCATATCCGCGTTTGCAAACGCATAACTCTTCACAATGATTAGCGTCTTGCTGCCGAAGCGCGCGGTTGATCGCGTAATCGTGACCGTTGATGTAACACTTTAATCTGGATCTCGCGTACACGTGATCGCAGTCGTATCTCGTCGCGCACCGACTATTATTTTTGTACACCGGCGTGCATCCCAAATCCTCGTAATATTTCAACGGACCTGGGCAGCTTGTTTTAACGTCTTTACAAAAAGAGAAAATGTCAACGCATTAGCGTTCTAATGCGTTATCGTGTGCAATTGGCACCGACAATGGAAAATGTAGTATAACGGTTTCAAATCCGTCGATATTATGTAATGTCTGACTAATTTCAGAAGGAATCGTTACATTCTAAAACAATTAAAGCGTTACGACTGAAGCGACAAGAAAATGAGATATTGATTTTTTCTTACGGTTTACCAAAACCACGGCGATAATGACGAACGCCGCGTAGACGAACACTTGAGCACAAACGCGTGTTTCACCCATGTTTGATCACGCGCAAATGCGTTGTCGACTGTAATATTCATCTTACCTTACTTACATTATAAAACGATCGATTTGGAGAGGGATGCGGGAGAATATATCTAATAAATGTAAAAGTAAGCTTGATAGACGAGTTAGTAAGGAAAAAGAAGTACAAAGGACGCCACGAATACTTAGTTCTGTAAACGTTAAACCAATGTAAAGATATTTGAAAGATATCTCGATCTTTCCGTTTCTAAGTTAAATTTGTAGTTAAAAAATCTCAACTAATCTATATTTACATATAGAGTTGATTAAGCTACATATAAATTCTTTATTGTCACGATTTTCGCAATGTCACATTTCCTCCATTGTCACGATTTGACAAGAGTAGTTATGTCCGGTCAGCACACTCGGGGAAAACAAAGACAGCAACCCATTTTGAGGCCCACAATTAGTAATCGAATTATTTGGATTGTGCGTAACTCCAATCTTTTATGAATTTTACCCCGCGTAACTAAAAATCGTAATTAGCTATTCTATCTATATATCCAAGATTTTTAAGTAATATTATTCAATTCTGTCAATTTGTTCTGTCGATATTCAGTAACGCAAAGATAATTTTTACTTAAGAGGCACTAACCGAAATGTTAAGTTGCTTGACTACAAAAAAAAACGGTTACAATTTTTCCCAGAGTAGAATGCTACGAAGAATCCAAATAATTCGATTGCCAATCGTGGGCGCTAAAATGCGTAGCTGTCTTTTTTTCCCTTGAGCATTCAAGTGCTTCACCGGGGATCGAACTAGACTGTGTGAAAACTAAATAAGGACAAAAATACTAGAGATAATAGATTTTATTCTTGGCCGGAAAGATAGCCCGATTCGTAATTCCGCGGCGATAATCTGAAATGTTCGCGTTTTGATAGGAGGGAACTTGTGATGGTTATTCTTTGAGAGAGATGAGATCACGAAGGGGGGAGTATTAATATATGGAAGATTCGGTATATTGTTTTACCTTTTTATTCGTATCCTTTTATGTTACATGATAGTCGTGAAAGCCTAAGTATTTGACCCAAAAATACTGTCGTTTGAATGTCGGAACTAAAACTCCGTGTTCTGGTTATGCGCAAGAGAATAAGTAACTGTTAGTAGGCGGCTGAGTGTGGAGATAACACGTAAGAATGACGGTGAATCAGTTGCTGCGAGTAAAAGCTACGAGTGAAAACTGTGACGCTTTTCGCTCCTCTATATATACCCGAAAAAATGACAGGAACCTCCCCTGCTCGACTCATATTCGGGACTTATCTTAGTAGAAGGGAGAAGGTTTTTTCCAGAAGTTTGTGATATCTGGGTCCGGAATTATGTGTCCATTGGCCACGTTACTCTGTTGGAATTTAATCTGTAGACTACGTGTCTCTTGCCATGGTTTCCTTGCTGGAACTTTATTTGTAGATAAACAGAACGTTCTATGCGAGCATTCGAAGGAAAATTTTAGGAAATTGTAAGAATTTTGTTTATCCGTGATACCATAAAGACTCGGTCTCCTTTTAACGCGATAGATCGCGATATCCTAAATTCTTTTTGTAAAATTACACAGCTTGTTTTACATCGCGGATCCCAAAGGCCAGTCAGCGTCACTCATTGTATGCTAGGGAAAACGCGGTTGTAAACGCGTTAATGAGAATAAACACTACTGACGTAGGAGCAGATTTATCGATCTGGAATAAACTTGTAGTTTCCGTGGAATCGTCAATTAAATAGGGAAGTAACATTTTGAAAAAGAGAATTATTCTCCATTTTTAAGATGGAAGTCTCGCTACATGTTTGAATTACTATCTTGACTGATTGTGAGTGAGAAAGGTTTGATGAAAAATAAACTGCATGCATTAAAAAAAGTTTCTTGTGACGATGTCAATTGTTATTTCATCTTAGTGCAAACAAAAATTAAGAATACGAAGTGTTCTAATGCCACACAGTACGTTTAAATTAATTTAGTTATTGCTAGTAGAACACGTGTTCATTATTAATTTTATTTTTTCTGATGATTCGACTCCAGTCTAATTGCGTTCATAATCTGTCAACAATATGATCTTACAGCAGTTAAAATAAAGAAGAAGATATGCGACATTTTCATCAAATCATTTTGTGTTGTATACAAAGTTTTCTTATATAAATCTCAGAAACAAATCTTGATCTGTTTTGCATTGGTTGTATCAAAATACTTATAATATTAAATTAACTTTTATGTCTTATATAAAAAAGAATTCTTACAGCATATTAGCAATATAATAAGAAGGCATATTTATTTAAATGTAATATTTAACGGATTACACATTGTGAAAGAATAATTCAATTATCTAAGAGTATTCTTTAAATATAATTTTTTAAATTGAATGTCACAAATGTTAATTAATAATATAATACATAACATTTAATATTAACTAGCATTTGATATTTAAAATGAATTTAATATTAACACTTTATTCCCACCAAGAAAGATATAGGCCCATAGGGAATGCTAGAAATACTGACATATTTTTAATAAAAATAAAATGACGATGAAAATAATCGAGCCTTAATTAAAGTTTCTGTCGATACATTTTTATATTTATAATAAAAGTATTCGGTATTAGTCTCGAATTATAAGACAACTTACGATCTCTTACATTAATAGATATAATGAATCTATTATATTTATTATATTACATTCATTATATGTTGATTGATAATTTATTTACGATTTATTACCGTGAGGTTAAGCGCAACATTAAAGAAAGAACATTAATAAAAAGGTTAGATGCAAACAACTCTTTCAGTTATCTTTATTGTCGTCAGTGATTCAAGATTCGCCATCAAGACTCTCGGTAATTACGTAATACGCCTACATTAAATTTACTTTTAAACGTATAGGAAGAGTAAAATATGGAGAAAGTCTCTCTGTAGTACGCATAAAACAAGACAAGAAGTGGATAGTGAAAACTTATCGAAAAGAAGGACGACATTCGAGAGGAATCAGGCAATTATCTTTTCCTTTTTTTTTTTTTTGAAAAGGGAATTAACAACTTGCAACTATCTGACATATTTAAGGGGTTTTTATTTCGGAATTGCATCCATCTTTGAAATATATAATTAATATCTCGCAACGGACGCGTTGACCCTGCAGCAAATGCGACGGGAAGAAAGAAGGAATCTTCGCCGAACGCGAAAAAATCACCGACACACATTTTCGTTTCTCTCTTTCTTTTTTTCTCCCCGGCTGACGCCGTGCCGAAACTAAGAACTAAGAAAGGATGAGAGAACATGATTTTTCTTTTGGTATCACTCGCTTTCGACGCGTTTATCCTAATCGGGATAACATTCCGCTCCGTCTTTCGCTCGCTCCTCTCCTTCCTCTTCCATTATTTCCCTTTTTATTCGTAAACTTAAGTTATATATTATACATTAAAGTGTTTCGCGTATTCGACTTTTAGAGAATCAGCAGTCTGACCGCATATTTATTAAACGCCAATTTTTGCCAATTAGACCTTCGAAACTGAAGCCACGCTTGAATTGTCGAGAGTACAGTAATTAAACAGTAATTTTTGTGATACCTCCATACTTTCGAAATCTACCTCTAATAACGTAATTCATAATTAGTTTCACATTATTAGTCTTGTGCAAATAGCGATCTGCTTTCGATTTACTGGATTTTCCAAATTTCAAGTCAAAGCTTATTTTCAAAACTTACAACTGCAAGGATTACTTTAAATTGTTATGCTTGTGTAGTAATATCGGAGTAATATATTACAGTGTAGAATTTCCAACTGCGTCTTTTCGATTTATATTGCAGGACAATAAACTTCTCTCGCATTCTCTTTCCTTTACCCTCACTATCTATCTCTCTCTCTCTCGCTCTCTCTCTCTCTGTTCTTTTGTTTCACACACACACGCACACAAACACGCATACACATACGCACGCGCAATCGTTTTCCATCGACTTTTGCATTTCGCCCAGTACTCAAAATCGCCTCTAACCGTCACGCGAAATCGTTTCTCTTTTTTTCCCGGTCGACCTCGGAAACCGATCAGACTTGCGATAATCGTGTTATTCTATTGTGCAATCGCAGAGAAGCTTTGGCGCAGATTCCGGACGACCCTCTCGCAAAGTAATCCGCTCGTTGGTCAGCGGCCGGAGAAAATTCGCGTAACGAATTCGCTTCGTATTCGTGGAGGACCGTTATAAGGCACTTTTACCTGCACTACGAAATCGTTAGATGAACATGACGCGTGTACGCTAACACCTGCGCGCTAATAAATGTCAGTACTTTCCGAAACTCACTATAACTACTCGCTAAACGCAAAAGTGCGCGACTCGGCGCGCAAAGCTCCGAGACGAGAATTCGCTAAAAGGCATTTAAGTGCAAGGGCACTTGCTCGAATTTATTCGCTAATTGCGCGTTATTATCTTTCCTCGCAAACACTTGTAAAACATTTTTTTTTTCCCTACGTCGTTTGAGCGTGATCGGATTTGCGAGGGGGCTCATCATCCGAATCTCCCCGTCCTCCTCGCAATCAGCCTGGAATCGGGATTTCCGAAGTCGACGTACATGATCGCGCGCGCGACACTTGGTTGATATTTGCGCAGCGTTCCTCGTGGTGGGAAGTCTCGTTTCGCTAAAGCGGACGCAGTGTCGCACAGGTCGCGTCTTCTCGAAGCTCAACACCTCAAAATTTCTTTCCCTTCTCGCGGAAGTCAGTGCAATAGAGTTGTCAATCGCGTCGTGTATGTTTATTTTTTCCCCGCGGCGTCGCACGCATCCAGAGCGGCGACCATCGCACCTTCCAAGTTAGCGGATAATTATTGGAAGAGAGAGATAAAAAAGACGTTTTTTTCCGTTTTTCCGTTTTCTTCAAGTTAATTAATTAGTTAGTTAGTTGGTTAAACTACTCGAATACTGAGATAGTGACTTTTCGTTTATTATTCTTGCGCAAGTAACACGTAAGCGATTCTATATAAAGTCAGGAACGATAATACGAGAGGAATTATGAATTTGATTTTTCTGCCGTTTCGTTTTCATTGCGTTTTCTCGTGTTTTTAAATTTATCCACACTGGGTCGCGAAGGTGACGTATTGTCGCCCATCAGATCGGTCGACGAGATCAGCGTCTCAAACGATCACAATAGTGATTCAAAGCGTCGAATACCTCTCACTTCCTTTGGAGTTCGTTCTTAAATTAAGGAGGGTAGACTTTCGTCGGCTCAGCCTTGATGCCTGCGCTCCGTTTTCCTTATGCATTATTATTATTATTAATATTACCTTTTGTGTCATTAAAGTATTATTAATATGAATATTATCAATATCTTCAGTATTATATTACCGGTACTCTATTATGATTATTATTATTATTAGCATTATGAATATATTATTGTTCTTCTTATTATTATTTTTGTTATGCATTAACTGTTAATTATTAATAAGTATTATTATTAGTACTGTTATTGTTGTTGCGGTTGTTATTTTGTTATTATTGGTAATATTTGTATAGTAATATTATATATTACCATTATAATCATTAATAGTATTAATATTATTGTTATTATTATTATCATTGTTGTTGCCGTTATTATTATTAATATTACCTCCATCATTATTAATATTAATATTATTATTACTGTTATTACTAATATTATTGTTGTCATTATTTTTTTTTATCATTAGTATCATTTTTATCATCACCATCATTATTCTCTTTTTACTTTTTATACATTACGATCGGTACAATGGTCGTAAACGCACTCCTTGAGCTTGTTAAAGGCTTTTTCTTCTTTATCGAGACTTGTACGTACTTGTAGCATTTTTTTTCCTTCAAAAGGAATTAAGTAGAAAAAAGAAGTAATAGTAGTATAATAGTAGAAGATGAAGAAGTAGAGGAATTCGAAGAAATGTTCCTTAACAGTGCTAGAAATACGCTTGCTTAATGTCATTCGTAAACTGTACCATGGACGCAAGTGGTTGTTCTTTCTTCCAGCTGAACGGCGGAATGTCTCTAGTCGTATTTATAATTTTTCCCTCTCAACACACACACACAGACGCACATACACACTTTTCTTTTCGCTGATCCTTTCTCGCACGTGCATACTCCCTTACCCATGCTCCAGCAATTTGAAAGAAAGAAAAAAAGAACAATCAGTCGAAGTCGCACCGAGGAAACCTTTTCGAACCCTTTCACGGGCGTATTGCACCCCTCGCATCCTTCTCTTCCTCACCACGAATCTTTCTACGATCCCGCTAATCGCACCGCTCGTCGCCCATCGCAATTTACTTCACATCGATCGAATAAATACAATAAATACGTCATCGCGCTGTTCACACCCGTCGCTTTCTCACACCACATTCGCCGTTGTTGTTCCTCCGCTGTTTCATTATCGTTACTTAAGCTTTATCATTATTTTGATAATAATTTAGTAATAGTACGACGATACCTTAATAAGGCCCAGTAAGGCTGCGTGGGTCGAACGTGACATTCCCACGAAAAAAATGTCATTTATATCTTCAAGTTTTTTTTTTCTTCCTTTAGTTCGCGCGCGTCGCGTCGGAACGATAACTCACGCGGACGCATCTCGTTTCGTTCAATGAACTGCTTTGAACAAACAAAAAAAAAACGTATGCCGCCACCCGAAAATTGTCGTCCCGTGTTCAAGGCATCTTTTTTTTCCCCCCCCGTTTATTGTCGCGTTATTGTTTTGCCGCAATTATCAGTTATCTCGTGCATATATATTCTCTTTTTCTCCTCCCGAAAAAATTTCCAGCTCCCGAATCGTTTTTCAATTCTCGACGATCTTGCTGTTCGAAACGTCAGCTCGTAATTAGACACGTGTCTTCGGTGTACGCCATTCAAGGGACGTTCGCGAGTTCGTTATACAAATGGCGTAATACAAATGGTACTTTCCTTTCCCCGTTACGGATTAAGGTGAACTGCAAAAATTGTCTGTCACAGTGCGAAATATCAGGAGCACGAGTGTGCGGCCTCACTTTTCAGTCGCGCGTACCGAATACTGTATACTTTAACGCTTTGCGGAGCATCGAATTGTCGGTTGCCTGTCTGTAAAAATCGTCGAAATATACGCACGCCCGCAGCACCCCGTACCAATCGCAGTTCTGGGGCCAACCTTACGCTTAACGGTATAATTAATAATAATAAATTTTCTTCCGCCTCTTTTGAACTTTGTGGGTACCTTTCGTCCCCGCCCGTCTCGTTTCCAACCCCCGGCTCCGGCATACTGGATTTACGTGTACTTATGCGTATAGGTGTGTCGGTGTATATGGCGTATGCGTGCGTGCGTACGTGTGTATTATATATTTATAATATATATATATATATATGTATATTTTTAGACTTTTAAATAGCATTTTTATTACTTTTTAAACCGTTACTTTCGATACTTTCATAAGTTTTGCATAAAAAACAAGGCAATTAGAGAGATTCAGTTTCTTTCTCGTCTTTATACTTAATACGCGCGCGCGCGCGCGCGCCCGTACGCGAATATTTCTATATTTCGGTTGAATCACGTCGTGTGTATGTATGCGTCCGAGAATGTATATATATATTTATATAATATATACATCTTATATATATATGTATAATCGTAAAAGTCACGTCTTTTACTTTCAATCGTTTTAATTACTCTCTCATTCTCGCGCACTCTTTCTCTCATTCTCGTCACGCAACTAATAAAGAAAGACTAAGCTCTTGGGTAAAGAATACCGACTCTGAGTATATAACTCTTTCTTTCTCGCGTATCTCTTCCTTGCCTTTTACGATCGCGTACAAATAAACCGGAGAGATATAGATAAATATATTATATGCGTATTGTAAACGACGCTTTGAAACCGAGAGACGCCGCGTCTCCCTTTCTTCTCCGTTTGTCTCTTTTTTTTTTTACAAATTACCAACCGGTAGGATCTAATCTACGCACTCGACCGTTCTATATTCTGTATATATATATATAGAAAGGCCAATTTTTATTTTATCACCACGCGCGCTCGGATCGCGCTCGGAGACGCAGTCGCGTCGATGTGGCGTGTAAATCTAGCAAAATTACCTAGTTCCTTTGACTATCTTTGCGTGCCGTCTTACCCTCGGGCGATGCTTTTCAGGAAACCGTCCTCGCGCGGACTACTGTTCGAGCACGCCGCGCTCTCGAGTGCCGTTCGCACAGCGCTCGGTCGGACTCCCGGCTCGCTCGGTTTCCCCGTTTCTAACGCGGGACGAAATCCCGCGGGATTCGGACGGTTTCTGGACCGATTTGTCTCGGACCGAGTCCGGGCTCGCGGTTACGATTCCGCGATTACTTATTTCCCCTCTCTTTTTACAAGGCAGAGCCCGACGACTCTTCTCGAACGTCTGGCTCTTTCGTCTCCCTGTCGCATTTTTCTTTTAAGGACAACCGCACTCGTCCACCACCATCTTCGGCAGGTCTCTCTTGATAATATTCGAGTCCGGGCCGTAATAGATGAGCGACATGGGCGAGAACTTGAGAGGCGCGCAGCACGGTTGCATACCGGCCAGTCGGTCCATCTTCCGGTATTCCTCGATCACGTGGGTGTAATAGTTGAGAAATGTGTCCGGCGTCCTGTGACCAGCCGCGCAGTCTCCTCTACAGTAATTGGCGTAGTATCTGCCGAGAGAGTCCATATTAGCGTATCGATAACGGCGCTCGTGCGCGTTTACGTGCCTCGAGAAATGTCTAGGACACTTTCTTTGGGGGGGAATGTACCCTAGTAGCACAGTACATTGGCTAAACATTGGTCCCAATGTTGGTTATATTAGAAATGCATTGGCCGATATTGTCCAAACGTAAAGCCATGGAACAAATGTAAAAATTGCACGATAATAATTGTATAATATTAGATTTAAATTGGAAGTGCGTTGGCCAATATTTAACAATGTAATAAGAATATTGGCCTAATATTAATACAATATTAGACCAATGTTGCTAAATAAGAGAAAGCGTCCATCTTACAATATTGGACCAATATCGGGAATACTAGATTTACTTTATTTCCCAATGTTGCGCCAATATATACAGGGTGTCCTGAAATTCGCGAATCAAAATACCATAGCAAGAAAGTCGTCGAAAAAATAAATTAAAAAGTTATTTACCATTTTTCGTTCCAAGCAGTAGTTTTTTTAGATAAAAAGGTTCAAAACAGGCCAATTATACATTACAGTTGAACGGAAACCTGTCCGTGAGTCGCGCGTCGATAGTGTTAATGCACTAACTTCCGTTCAACCGTAATGTATGATTGGCCTATTTTGAACCTTTTTATCTAAAAAAACTACTGCTCGGAACGAAAAATGGTAAATAACTTTTTAATTTATTTTTTCGACGACTTTCTTGCTATGGTATTTTGATTCGCGAATTTCAGGACACCCTGTATACTGTGCTACTAGGGTATCTCGATAATTTATTATCACTGACATTAGTATATTATTAGATATTCGAATATCTCGATCGTTGCTCGAAATACGCAGGAGTGGCCGTACAGGAAATTATTTATTTACTGCCGTCCGGCTTGCTTACCCCTGAGGAGCAATAATCCAATCGTCCCACCCAAGCTGAGAGAAGCTGACGTAGAACCTCTGCTTGCAGCACTGACCCTTTATCGCGCCGCTGCACTCGATCGCTCGTCTCCTAACGCGCCTCGTGACCGCTGGATCGGTACGCACGACTAGAAACGGTCTGTCCGGATCGTGATCGCCTGAAAGGAAATGCAGCTCTAATTACCGCACGCTTCCATACGAGACTAAAGTAGCGATTGTATTATAAATTACTGTAGAAACTTGATCGATCACGCCGGACCAGTCATATCTTTCGACGACGTGATCGATTGAACTGACCGAAATGTTTCAATCTTCTTGAATAACGCAATTATCGATCTCGCAATTATCGAAAGCTGGCTAACATCGGAATTTTTATACTTCTTATACTTTTCAAACATTTGGAACGCCTGGAGTTTCGGCTAGCACTCGTGAATTTCATCTTGCAAACCGTTTAAGAAGAGAATATCTCGCATGTTGTAATATATAATAAAAATATTATAGTATAGTCAGAATAATTAGCAAAAACTTATGCGCTAGCTTGCAAGATGATATTTATAAGAATTTTCCAATCAACGTGCATTTAGATCAGATTGACAAACTTTTTCTGCAAACAGGTAGACAGTAAGCAGATTTCAGGTTTTGCGGATCGAAAAAATAAATTTTCACAGACTTTCGGTTGACAAAAATCAAAATATATAAAAAATCGCGCGAGTTAAAAGATAGTGAATCATAAATTGCTATTTCCTGGATTAAACGGGTGAATCTATCGCGAACATTTGCCGAATTTTCCGACATTTTCTTCCGGGATTACCTTTCGGATTCAGGGACGACTCGATCACGTGCGGCGAGTGCCCGTCGAAGGTCGATACGTGGACGTGCGAGCCGCACCCGCTGCAGTCGACGAGCAGCGTCAGTTTATCTTTCGAGTAGTTCGTACTGTACCATCTGCTGACGACCTTCGTCACGTCGAATTTCTGCCAGCCGAGCTGGCCGATGTTCACCACAAGAGATGTCACCATCTCTAGGTGTTGCCCGAGTTCCTGTAGATTGAAACGCTCGCTTTAGATAAAGGAAACTTTGCTCTAACGTAAAATAATCATTTTGTTGGGCTGCATTACTAACAGCTTTGTGCGTCCTAAGAGACAGAAACGTTAGAATAGTATTTGTTTCAAAACAATAAATTCTATTGCGAAAGGTATTTCGATTGTTAGATAATTCCTTCTGTGGATTTTTGTCGAATTGATTGCTGCGGTTAATTAAAGTCGAAACTAAAGAATCCAGAGGAGACGCGATATTAAAAATTTGCATAATTTCGCAGGGGTGGCTCTCATTCGCACAGTCATTTGGGCTTAGCGAACCCACGGACTCACTAAACCGCGGATACTCGCATACAGTTACACCTCATATAGACTCGTTACGCACACATATTTTGTGAGTGAGGAACAAATATTTGAAAAAAAATGGAAGCAAGGTATAATCTGATGTAAAAGGAGAATAAGAAAAATGAGAGTACTAGCTAGACCCATACAGATTTGTGTTTGATATGAGGTGGAGCAGAATGGCAAGAGCTGGGCTAGGGTTCATTTATTTCTTCTTTATACTTTGAAAGAAGGATCTTTATGAAGTTATAAATTAGGGGATAGATTACCTTGCCTCGGAGATGCGTCGTGTTACCGCAGTGCACTCTAAATACCCAGAGAGTGATATTTCTTTGGTTTATCTGACTGTGACGATGATGCTGATAGTGATGGGCATGCTTGAGCTCCACTCTCGCCCACAGAGTGGCCCGTTTGATTCTCAGAGGTTCCAATGCCGGTTCGCCGCCGCTCGACATCGGGAATTCCAGCAATGGCTGGCCGTTCAACGTGTGCCCTGCAACAGAACATAAATACTTCAATTTAGGAAGATCAGATACAAAAGTGAGCGCAATTAAACAGTCGATTTAAACCGTCATAATTTGCAGGACTCGGGGTTCTAATTCGAGACGTGGCTTTTATAAAATATATATTCCCCACATTGCGTGATAAAGTTTGACGGAAATACTGAAAATTTACCCATTTATATGCGAAACATCGGTAAATCGCGAGTATTCCCTTTTAAATAAATTTTACCAACATAGATCGCGGGAAAAGAGTGAGAGGAAGGTAATTAACATTTGTGAAAAGAAAGAATTAGAAAATGAGACGGCGATTATGTACACCATGTGCAACGCAACGTGTGCAATTGCTAATTTCCGGCGTGTTCACGATAAAAATGTCGCGTCCGCATGGATAGATTTTTCCAGACTTCGTTTTTTTCCTCTTTCCCCTTTGCCATGTACTAGAAATTACGCGCCGGACTTGATTCATATACAGGGTGTCTTACAACCTTCAATCTAAAATTTAACGATCAATTTTCCTTAGAGGAAAAAGTCTTTCTCGTCAATGGCTAGCATGTTTTTCAAATGGTTTACATTAAATGTTTCGATAATCAAGCTGCGAGCTGAAATTCTAAGAAATGTGACTATCGGGTTCCATTGTTATTCCATCAAATGTCGTTAACATTCCGTTGTTCGATCGCGACCCGAAAGCTGCCCTCGTCAAAACGGAGCCAGGGAACGGCTGATTCTCAGTCAGCTCGCGATATCAGAAACCAGGGTGCTTGATGTTTCAATTAAGAGAAAGTCCGCTCCTAAATTGATCCTAAAATAATCTAATCACTGTAATTAAGCTGCGCGCTTCCCGCAGCCACCCTTTATGTACGCGCATACACACACGCGCGCGCGAGCGCGCGGCACACGTACACGTGCCGCGTTCAACGCTCGTTCACTCGAAAGCGCCGTTCCTCATCTCTCTTTCTCCCTCGCCCTCGTGGCGGAGGAGGAGGGGTGTACGTGTGTACACCTGCTTGCGTCTGTGTGGCGCGCGTGGAGTGAAAGCAGGGCGGCTTCATCCTTTAACGGTTTGGTGAGTCACGGACCGGGGTGGGTCGGGGTAGGGATAAGCACAGGGTGTCTGCCGCCCGTCTGCCTTCTGCCTTTCACCGCGCACCCCCTTCGCTGTAACCCTCTATCGCCACCGCCGCCGCCACCACCCACCCGCACCCTCGTCTCCGCAGTCAACTAGCCGCGTCGCTGCGCGCGCTACGACGGCCGATATACACGCGATTATATCGCCGTTCGTCGTCCTTGCGATTGTAATGACTCGCAATGACCGATAACGTCGCGCGAAAACTCGCGGCGCCCCACGCTGATAATTCGCGATCATTCGCGACGATAGCTGTTCGACGAGGCCTCGCGAAGATTCGCTGCGACTCGCGGCAGAGGATTATTTTCTGCTTGCGATGCGCCGCGCTAGGATCGTGTACTCTGGGGCTTTCTTCGATCTTTCAACCCTTTGGAATATTTCAATTAGAGTAATATCTATGTGTTGTATGTAAGAATGTTTTTTTAGATTATGGATTATCTGTTGCAAAGACATGTACAATTGCGAGAGTAGAGCTAAAAGTTGAATTGAATCAAGGGGAAACGGAATAATGCCAAGAATGACAGAGAGCGGTAAGAAAATTTAATTTCATCAAGCCATTTGACGGACGGTAAATCGGATATTTAAAAAGACAAAACGTGAGTTTGTCGGTTATAATATCGTAGACGATTCCAGAGGGGAAGATAAGGAAGGTTTCAATCGATTTTGCGAAATTCAGGGAGAGCACAATGGAATAATTTCGTAACGCTCTCGTCCTTCGCGAAGGCACCACGCCCGAACATATTCGACTCGATCTTCCTTCTTTGCGGAGATGGAATCGAGAGCAAACCAGAGCAATGTAATTTTTTTTTAACGATAAAGTTTTCGGATAACCGTGCAGGATAATAATTGAATTTCAAGAATACGCAGAAAAACAATTCAATTCAATTAAGTTGAACTAAATTTAATTATTTTCTTGGGGTAATATTTTTCGCAATAAGAATTTTAATTGCCAGATACGGTCAATAAAAATCATTGATGTTGTTAATTACTGCTGGCGACTTTTAAGAGTATTCTTAATAGTTTAATTATTTTCTTTTATTTTTACCCTCGTTAATTTTAAACGTTCCATCATAATATCCTATGAAAAAGATGAATTAAAATCATTACCGTGGAGTGTCTTCGTCTTCATTTATGATCTCTCTCTGTGCCTCGGGAATTATTATAAGTACATTTGCGTAGCAGTAATACATCTGCGCGCAGTTTGATATTTGTTAACGTTTCGCATTATGAATTAAACGCGTCCAACTGAGGGAGCAGGGTAACGTTTTTGTCTCGTGATGTAGCGAGAGGAGATTGAGGCGGATATGCGGATATGGAGGAAAAAGCGCGATATAAAACGCGGCTCCAGAATGCTCCACGTCCTTGGCACATGATCGACAACAAGAGTAATACGGATTTTTAGTGGCGGAATACTCTCTTGTAGCACGATCGCTCACAAGACGCCGAAATTACGCGTTGGCTTCCCAAACTGGCGTCCCTTCTCAGCGCACAGGGTGTCCCGAAAGTCGCTCATTTTTCCCCGATCGCATCCGGATTCGCGGACGTAACGTCTTTGCACGAGGGTTAAGGTAGGAAGACATTAACGTCGCGGAGTCTCACGGGGTAACCGAATTGCGTTTTGCCATCTCTGCGTCTCGTGCTCTCCCGCGAAATTACAGCAATCGCGACCGTGAATTCATTTCTCGTTCGTCACATTTCAAGAAGGAGATTCATCCTCCACGCCTTCCTCTCGTCTACGAGCGATCGAGCGTCGCATATGTTTAAAACCGGTTTGCAGAAAATGTCGGGAATTTTCGGTAGGGCGCTTATGGCACTCGGTCACTTATTCTTCGAGACTCGACATCTCGATATGATTTACTCTGTCTCGACTTTTCGCTCTGCATAAAGAATCTCGTATCTCTGATCTCCCGTACGCTCTTCTATTGGGCTCTCTTTTTGGGCCCTCTCCCTCTTTCTCTCTCTTTCTCTCTCTCTCTCTCTCTCCCCCCTTTTCCCTCTCCCTTGCCCTCACTCTTCCCCCCTCCCTCTCTCTATTTTTCTCTTTCCCTCTCTCACTCTGGGTCGCGTGTTCTACATTTTCGTAGTTCGATTTTCTAACGGCCTCGCTCGAGTTTCGAGTGCGTCGTCTGTCGCACATTTCGAGGTCGGTACTTTTGCCCCCCGTGCGCCGCAATGCGACACCACCACGGGAATCTGCGCCCGGATCTCTCCTCTCTCATCGTACAGAGACGATGAGACTTTTTTCTCCTACGACACGAATATTCATTCTCGAATAAAATTCGCACGAGAGGTCGACAATCGCACGGCACTTTTTTTTTGTACGCGCGTAACGTCGAAGCGGCAGAGAATCGGCTTCAATAATCGACACTTTCCCGGATTTCCCCTTAATGGTTAAAATGTTTATTCGTCCGTTTATCTCGTAAATTCTAGCTGCAGTTTCATAAACAATTGCACCTCGATCGAGATCCTAATTGATTTTCGTCAAAGACGATTTTAGGAAAAGAAAATTATTCGCGCGTCCAATTGGATTTTGCCGAGAGCGGCAAAAGTGGCAGTGTTGTTATAAATGTAAAAGATGGTACCGAGTACAGCGCGGTTTCCAGATTATAACGGCGAGGTAAACGCTATCGAGCGAATCAATTTATTAGCATGGCCAAGGTTCGAGTGTTATAGGCCTTATATCGTGCCTATCGCGTCCTCGATGAGCAAAATTTTCCGAGAAACGCTCTAAGAATAATCCCGCGATAAAAAGGAAATAGGATGGAATGTGAAAATGCGCTAGAAACTTGGGGGCTACAAAGCGATCTTTCTAAAACACCGAAGGATCGCGGCAATAAACTGCACGATGTAGATTTAATCGATCATGACAACAAAATAGGTCCATAATTTTCCACGATCCAGAGCGGTTAATGGGGTGTGTTGTAAACGTGAGAATCTACAGCGTGTACGAAAACAATGCAGCTCCGCGGTGCATCGCGTACGTTACTGTGTTTGGACGCAACGACGCTTTTTGAGATAACGCGATCTTCGGCGGGTGGTCGTTATTGTTCGCGAAATAAGTAGATTCCCAAATAATCAGATCTAGCTGGCGTGTTAGAATCGCGGGCACCTCGGGCGTCTCGGTTGGCTTCGGCAATGATTGGCAAGCTCGTCGTGACCTTGCGTCAGATAACCGCGAGATAACTCGCGTCGTCCTACTTTTGAAATTTTCCCGTCGGCGCTTTCTACCGAAAACGTCGCTTAAGAGAAGCCCTCCCCCGCGGATTCCGCGTTCTCTAATTTAATAGAAAGCCTTTTCATTGGAGGTAGTGTACGGGCGACGTGGGAAAAAAAGGTCAGGGCTTTTCCGCGTTTAGACCTTAGATATACGGATTCGTGGGTCCTAGATTCGTCCTGGAGACGCTGATATATCGTCCCGACGTCCTACCGCGCGGCCCCTACTCCTAGAAGCGCGCACAAAGAGACAATCCGAAACCACCCCTGCTATTTGAGAAATATACTTTTTATGGAAATTAAGTATGATCGATTAGGAAAAGCGAAGGAAGAAATAGAAATTTTTAGCTGTACATAGAACGAGGGGGAAACCGCTGACCAAAATCTTGTACACCAATGCCCACTAACCCCAGTGGGCATTCTTTATCTTATTATCTTATTTTATCTTATTTTATCTCTATAATGCCCCAGCAAGGCCTAATGCCCAAACTAATGCCCAGTAATGCCGCAAATCTGTACACCACAATGCCCTCAGCGGTTTCCTTCAACATAGAACGAGAGAGAGAGAGAGAGAGAGAGAAATCATTAAAAGAAAACTTTTCTTGCACTACGATTATTTTTGCATTTCGAAGACGATTTTTCTGTAGCGAAAATATCGAGAGTGAGGGTGAGG